TTTACTCAGATCTGGTACTGTTGCAGTGATGAAATGTATTTACTGTTCTGTATCACTCGAAAGACTGACTTTCTATAAACCTCGGCATGGATAGTTGATATATTTATTTATTTGATCTTATAAACTGATCTTCTTAAGCTGACGCTAGGTTGGTACAGATCTTCGTTGTCGTTGTTTTTGATGTTATTGATCGATGGCTGACGTTTCGGCGACTTCGCCTTCCTCAGAGCCTGGACGTACTTTATGTTGGAATACTTTTTAGTATTCGGTGGAAAAGAAGGTTAAAGTATTAATGAAGATCAAACTTTCAAATAGACGCCATATTGAACAGAAAAGCCACTCACTGTGATATTACGTGCGGGACTGGCCCACACGAAGTTCACGAGGAGTCCCGAGCAAGACACGCCCCGGGGTCAAAATATCATTTTAAAATAGGGCGCCAGGTCACGCGTGATAGTGAGGCATTCGTCCTTCCGGTTCATCTCTGGATTTTTGAAATTTATCCAAAACGTCTCAAGAGTTTCGTGCGTTAATGTTTTTGATTCCTGCGCTAGGATCCGCACATTCACTTCAAAATCATCGCCGTTGTGCTTTTGTACCCTATGCGTACGTAGAGGGGTGTTTAAATGGATTTTAGCTTTCCCATCTAGATGTTCTTTTATGCGGATACAAAGTGGTCTACCCGTTTCCCCGATATATTCCTCGCCGCATGCATTACATGAGATCAAGTATATTACACCTAAACTCATGCAATCCCCGTCTCTCCCGTTAGGACAGATCATGCAGTTTTCTGAGCTGCACAAACGATCATAGAGACGGTTTCGAACTAACTGGCGGCGTAGGGTATTGGGTGGGATGTCAATAATCATTACATAATTTTCACGACCACTTTTTCTTAAGCACTTTTTAATGACGTGACTTACTTCATTTGATATGAAGGGCAGCTTAAAGGGGATCCAACTGTCGTCTGAAATATTAAATAAATTAAAATGAATTAATAAAATAAAATAAACCACAACGTTGCTGAGATATTTGCAAAACTGTGGACCGCAGGTGTCTATGGTGGGGAACGAACGCGCTATTATCCTTTCCGGGGAGTAACGCGTTCACCACCACACCATGCGGGTCCTTCGTTTCGCCTGTCTCTCATCTATTTCTATCGATCTTTTTGCCACAGCAATCACCCGTCAGCGGGGTTGATCTGGGGAGCGCAAATCGGCAGTCAGCTATTTCTATCGATCTTTTTGCCACAGCAATCACCCGTCAACGGGGTTGATCTGGGGAGCGCAAATCGGCATGGAACCCAGTTAAGCTATGGCTGTAGTTTTGCAAATATCTCAGCAACGTTGTGGTTGTATTTCGCTTAGTAACCTGCCATGAAAATTATAGAAGGCAGGAAACAAAACGTTAAACATTGTGATTTCAACTAACTATTTCAAATAAGTGTTTTGTATGTTTGAATGGTCCTTCCTTAATACTGGAAGTATTTTCGGGGTCGTAATAATTCTTACTCGGATTACATGTGAAAGCCTCGAAACTTAGACAATGTAATCGAATAAATCAAGTAGCAACTTCGTTTTAGCTTGAGGAAAAACTGGAGAAAAAAACACTATTTCGGGATTTATTGAGGTTTTAATATCAATGTAAATGTTGAAGGTGCTCAACCCTATGACCTAGTAGTGTTTGATTTTTGTTTTTTTTCTGAGATCTTCGGTTTGGTAGAGGTGCGCTACTCATGTAGGTTCATTGAAGCGTTGAATGTTGATTTGTCTTTTGAATAACATGTAGGTAAGCCAGTGCGCAAAGCAATGTTCTAATCTTAGTAGGTATCGTTGGAACTTACCTTAGCATCTTGCCAACATTGTAGGGATATAACATTTGACGTGCTTGCGCTCACAGTTAAAGCAACGCTCTTGGGCTTGTATTTTACCTGCAGTTTATACATTTACAACTAATAATCCTTGTTATTGGTCAACTATTTCCACCTTATGTAAGATTGCCGACAATCTGTGAGCGATTGACATTGTTCGGTATAGCAAGGAATTCCTTTTTCTTGCTTGATCTGATTTTTTTTATAAAAGAGTGTGTATGTATGTATGTCGGTGTGTATGTATATGTGTGTGTATATGTATATGTACGTCGGTGTGTGTCTGAAGTATGAAAAGATATTTTTTGAAGGATATCCTCAATAATGAGCTTATTTTTCGGCTATTTAGGAACCCGCATGTGAGATTGATATCAAAAAGTTTGTGAAGGAGACGTTCGATTACGAGCCGGAGTTATATGCAAAGGTAACAGAAGTTTTTCTCTCTTCAATCATCACATCGATATCGTTATTATTGCGAAACGTCGGACACTTCTATTTATTCCAAAGGGCGTTGACTTGATTTGCTTTGTCTTCATCGTCAAAACCAAATTTATGTGTATTTGAAACTTAACTCGTTGAGTGTAAAAAGAAATCCTCTATTGTTGTAGAAACATACGATATCCTTCTATAATTTCCGTAAGAATTTTTCAAAAACTGAATTTTGTATGTCGTTATTGGCTTAACCACATGGTGGTCATAAGGGAGTCATGGGCTTTTAATGATTGAAATATGGTCAATAAAGTAATCCTTTTAGGTGAAGGTGAATGGTGATGACGCTGACCCATTTTGGAAGTTTTTGAAAACGGAGCAGCATGGTACTCTGATTGACGCTATTAAGTGGAATTTCACAAAGTTTTTAGTGGATCGGAAGGGCCATGTAGTTAAGAGGTAAGGATAAGTTGTGAACTTTGTCGCCTGCTTTAGCTAATGATGTGAAGTTTGGTACCGGAGGTTCATACACCGTGTTTCCGCTCCATTTCATAGATCTGTAGATATTATTTCGTAGGAAGGCAATGCAGATGTTTTTGTTATATTTTTAGATAGCGCTGCTGTCACATATCACTGTAAAGTGGTGATAAGCGAACTTCTGTAGTCTTTATCTATTTGGAATACTATGTCATCTTTTAACACTTCGAGTCCGACTTGAACTGATTTCCAATCATATGGTATCAAAATAATGGCTGGAATTGATCTCAGCACGTATTAGACTGTACGAACTAAGATAGAAACGACTTTCTATAAACCTTCCCACTTATTCAATCATCTTGGCATCTGAAATCAGCAGCTCGAAGGAAAATAATGTTTCACGGGCAGCAAAAAGACATGAATATTGTCGTTTCCAATTGATTTAGTTTAGTCTGAGTTGAGATGTCTTTTGTGATGTTGGTAGATACAGGTACTTTCGGGCTCGATCAAATACTAAGCCATCTTTTATTATCTGCATGACTTTCGAGGACTGGTATCTTTTTATGTATGAAAGTGACTCACGCAGTTGCTATATGATACGGTTCCTTCAGATTCGCTCCAACGACGTCACCAAGTGGGATGACTGCCGATATCGAGAAGCTGCTTGCAGAATCTCCATGATGTTGATCTTGCTTTATCTACAGTGATTTGCATATATTTCTTGTTTCGTTCCGCGTTATTCTTTTTTTTCAACAGTTTTCAATCATTAACTGAATAAATACATATAATAGTCTCATAGTAACTCCCAAGTCCGACTTTCTATTAACCTCGGCATTGATTGAATATATCTTTCTACTTCTGTTCAGAAAGCACGAGGTGCTATTTTATTTCTTTATTTACGCACAAGCTGACGTTTCGGCGGATTTCGCCTTCCTCAGAGCCTGGAAAGGTCAAGTTGATAGAAACCTATTCGGCCAAACACGTCCATAACCAAACAGAGAAAACGCTAAACCAAGATTTCAATCACATTGAACACAGCTCTGCACACTCACCGCTTTCTATGAGTCTTCCACTGAGTATGGCGCGTGAAGACCGACCGCACCAAATTCACATGGAAGCGTAATGTGCACCTCCCATCAGAATAACAGGTTTATATACTGTTCAATATCGCGCGTGATAACGAGGCATTCCTCCCTGCGGTTCGTTTTCGGATTCTTGGAATTAATCCAGAATGCCTATAAAGTTTTGCGCGCTTGTGTTCGCGATTCTTACGCGAGGATCGTAACCCTTACTTCAAATTCTTCTCCGTTATGTTTCTGCGTGCTATGCGTACCTAGTGGAGTACTTGGTTTACGTTTGCCGACTAGGTGTTCTTTTATACGCACGCAGANCGTGCGGGACTGGCCCACACGAAGTTCACGAGGAGTCCCGAGCAAGACACGCCCCGGGGTCAAAATATCATTTTAAAATAGGGCGCCAGGTCACGCGTGATAGTGAGGCATTCGTCCTTCCGGTTCATCTCTGGATTTTTGAAATNACTTTCTATTAACCTCGGCATTGATTGAATATATCTTTCTACTTCTGTTCAGAAAGCACGAGGTGCTATTTTATTTCTTTATTTACGCACAAGCTGACGTTTCGGCGGATTTCGCCTTCCTCAGAGCCTGGAAAGGTCAAGTTGATAGAAACCTATTCGGCCAAACACGTCCATAACCAAACAGAGAAAACGCTAAACCAAGATTTCAATCACATTGAACACAGCTCTGCACACTCACCGCTTTCTATGAGTCTTCCACTGAGTATGGCGCGTGAAGACCGACCGCACCAAATTCACATGGAAGCGTAATGTGCACCTCCCATCAGAATAACAGGTTTATATACTGTTCAATATCGCGCGTGATAACGAGGCATTCCTCCCTGCGGTTCGTTTTCGGATTCTTGGAATTAATCCAGAATGCCTATAAAGTTTTGCGCGCTTGTGTTCGCGATTCTTACGCGAGGATCGTAACCCTTACTTCAAATTCTTCTCCGTTATGTTTCTGCGTGCTATGCGTACCTAGTGGAGTACTTGGTTTACGTTTGCCGACTAGGTGTTCTTTTATACGCACGCAGAGTGGTCTACCCGTTTCGCCAACGTATTCGTCCCCGCACGCTTTACAAGAGATCAGATAGACTGTACCCGAACTCATGCAGTCACCGTCTCTACCATTGGGAGAAATTGTGCAATTTTGCGTTGCACATGGACGGTCGTATAGGCGGTTACGAATTAGCTGGCGCCTTAGATTATTCGGTGGTATTTCGATTATCGTTACCGAATTCTCTAGACTGCCCTTTCTTAAACAACGTTTTATAGCTGCACTTACTTCATTTGAAATGAAGGGCAGTATAAACGAGACCTTGTTGTCGCTAGAGTTATCGTTGGGGTACATGTGGTTTCCTCTACACCTATCTCGAGCTACGGTTTCGTAGCCATTAAAAATGGAACATGAAAAAAAATAAAATAGTTTTAAAAAGTTTAAAATAGTTTACATGAACTTCAAGATAGACTCCGCAAAAAATCTAGGGATGAAGCGCAAAATAGGCGCGAACAACAAAGAGTAGGGGCAATACCAGTACCACCATTTCCTCAACCGTTCTTTAGACAACAAGAGCCCATTAATGAAGTCAATGTTAAATTTCGGATGTTTACGAATGAAACTTTCAAAGTCCTTAATCACTATCGAGCTAAAAGATACTGCTCCAACCTCACTGAAGTACAAAAACGTGGTATGCGGGAGGTACGAGAGCTGATAAGATCGAAAGACATAAGACTATCGGTTAGTGATAAGGGTGGAGAGTTCGTTGTAATTCCCCATCAGTTAGATGTTGAGATAACGGAAAATCACCTTAAAGCAACTAATTCGTCCTCATCAGCTGTACTGCTTGGTCAGCAGCAATTGATGGTAGTAGTTGCCTTTATGAAGTGGGTTGAAAAAATAGGGTGGTCAGGTAATGTGGAGGGAGCTGGTGTGAGTCGACTACATGAGAAGTGGAAGAGTGAATAGATTATGTATGTGCACAAACTCACGTTTCGTAATGAAATCTTTTTTCCACGAATGAAAAGGGACCCAACACTTAGTTGACATATGCGGCGTTTTTGTTTTTTTGTTTCCCATAGGGTGAGGTTGAAATCTGAAATTTAATGCGCCCTGTGGCCTCAAGAAGAGTTTAGAGTTCGATGTTTGAAAAGGTCTGGTAATATAATACTTTTGTTGCCAACCAAGGAACAGTTTCCATGAAGTTTCCTGGACGCTTTTTTTGATCCTGTTTTAATGACATTCATTGCAAATCAAGATTCAACACCCTCCCATTGCCGATTTTCCTGACCAGGACGCTAGGTTCGCGAGGTGCTGACGCTAGTACGTTTTTGGTTGAGGCATTTTTTTCATCTGCACTCCTAGGCAACCTCGGTAAACCATTCCCATCGCGTCACTACAAATACTCATAAGCCGTTCTGGATCAAGTGGAGATTCGCCATATAACGACTAGTTTACTGTCTACTTTTAGCTGTGCTTCTGGATTTCAAGCTCCTTTCTCAGCGTAGCAGAAACTGTTCTGGGTATCGAACCCCGCAATTTGATATTGAGGAACGCGCGAAAATTATGACCGCTTGTGTACCATGGAATAAGTAACATTTAATTTAATAATTGACTTGATAATTCACAATTCAATTCATCAATTTGTTTGAACTCATTAGTTCTGAAAACCGACTTCCATTTAACCTCGGCGTTTCTGATAAATAACATTTAGTTCCCAAGATCGACTTTCTCTTAACCTCGGCATTGGAATATGAATGTGTCGTTTTCTTGCTCAGCAATCGCGAGGTTTTTAAACAGCATACATTTACTTCCATAAAGAAAACACAATACAATACAACACCAGCTGACGTTTCGGCAGTATCGCCTTCTTCAGAGCCTGGAAGGGTATACTGATATACAATCTACTAGGCCAAACGCTTCAATAACACTTACACAAAGACGAAGGACTCTTTGGTAATTACACGATCAACAACTTCTCGAAAAACCCACCGCTTTTTCGTGACTTCCAATGAGGAAGTTTAGAACAGCTGATTATAGTCGCATGTGGTTGACGACTGCACCATCCACATCAAAAATCGATGCGAACGTACGAGATCAGGTCGCGTATGATCTCCGGGAATTCATCCCTGCTATTCATTGTAGGGCTTTTGGCATTGATCCAAAAAGCCTCAAGGAGTTTTCGCGCTGGTGTTTCGGACTCCTGTGCAAGGATATTGACTTTCACTTCAAAATCGTCCCCGCTATGCTTTTGTATCCTATGCGTGCCTAGTGGGGTGCTTCGTCTTAGTTTTCGTTTGCCATCTAGGTGTTCTTTTATACGGATACACAAAGGTCTGCCCGTTTCGCCAATATATTCATCTCCGCAATTATTACAAGAGATCAGGTATATCGTACCTGAACTCATGCAATCACCGTCCCTGCCGTAAGGGCAAATTACGCAATTTGTTGTTTCACACAGACGGTCATACAGGCGGTTGCGAACTAATTGGCGACGTAGAGTAGTCGGTGGTATTTCAACTATCGCTACCGATTCCTCTAGATCTGCCCTTCTTAAGCATCGTTTTATAGCTAAGCTTACTTCATCGCTTATAAAAGGCAACATAAACGGGATTTTGTTTTGGCCAAGCGTTTCGCGTGGGCGCGTCGTTCTCCTTGTAAACTTATCTCGTGGGGTTACTATTTCGTAGCCATTGGAG